TCTTCACCCTGTCTTTCAGTGTTGCTCCAGGATGACATCACTCAAGCCATACAATGTGCAAAGAGGGTTGTGAGGGATCCACAAGGCATTAGAGCATGGTATGTTGGAACTTGGGAAGGGGAAACTGTTGGTTGTGTTGATATGTGCAGTGAGTCTTCCTAAGGCCCAAGTGTCTTCTGAGCTCTGCAGGTTCAGCTGGGGTCTTTCACTGCATCATTAGTTTTAGGGAATTTCTCCAGAGTGTGAGAATCCCTACACACGACTACTTCCTTGTCAGGCCTCCAGACTATTTGTAGAATCAGTCAACCGTTCCATACACGTGATGTCACATTGACATTGAGCATGCTCTGCTCAGGGTTTGAAGGGGATCACACAGCCATGTGGACAAAGCTCCACTTGTCAGTTTCTGGGTGATGCTACAGCCTGTGTTTCACATTGGATCTTGGCCCAGAACCCAATCTCCATTAGTGTCACTGTTATAGTATTTTCCCCCAAAGGCTTGAGTATGTGTGTGACAGAGGAGACAATTTTAATCATTTCTCTCCTGTCTCACTTTCCTCCTCAGGGTGGCATGGAAAAGCCACTGTCAAAACCGAGATCTCACCCAGTATATTCGGGGCTGTGGAGTCTAACCACTGTGCTCTTCTGCTTCAGCTCATTCTGTCTCTGTATTGCTATAGAAGTAGAAATGGAAAAGGTCACATGTTCTTGGACTCCCCTTTAGACAAGCACGATTTAAACAGAAACAGGAGCAAAATGGAGACTGTTTCCTCAGAGGCTTCATGCTGACTAATGTCTTCATTGTTCTAAGCAAAGTCATCATTTTTTGGTTACCTAGGCAGCAGATGCTGGTGACAGTGGTCTAGCACTTTGATGGTCACACGCATCTCCATACATCAGTTCTTCATCTGTGAGGTAATTCACATTCAGTTTCTGCAGAATTAATCTCCATCTCCCCCTTGTTGGGTAGACATACAGCATGTATTTACAGGAGACAGTAGATCTTGGGTAAAATGGCAGCTGTGTGAGGTCCCAGGCCCTGTGTGTGGGCTCAGCATCCAGACAGTTAGAACAGCCACTGTGTAGGGCAAGGAGTTTGTAAGGGAACAGAACCCTGAGTGGATGGAACTGAGTCTCCTCAACTCAGAGACTTGTTGTCATGACTATGTGACCTTTCAAAAAATATATTCTTAGAGTTGTCCCATTTATGCTTCTTAAAAAGTAAATTCTCACCTCATGTCAAAGTCTGTTTTAACCCTTGATAGAGTGTTCCCATGCTTCTTGCAGATCATGAGGTATTCAGGACAGATTAGTGACTGTGCTA